AGTCTCCGGTTTGGGCCCAAATATCACATGGACTCCGATTCAGTCTTGCGTAAAGCTGTGTTGTGCGCGGTGTAAGCAAAGCATTAAACAGTCGACAGAAAGACTCAAAGAGTCTCACCGGCAACTCTGGAGAGCATTCAACTCCGCACGAACTTCTGTGAGGACGGTAGACAGTAACCATACGAAGGACTACCCCTCTGCAGAACAGGCACGGGCAAGGCACACTTGCTGAGGGTTGATTGATCTGTCCCCGGTGCAACTACGACCTGTTCATCCGGCGCTCTGCTTCTTCGTTGGACAAGTCAAGTCAAGACAATCCTCAACTTCCTTTCCGCCCAGTCGCCTTGAGGGTTAAGATCTGGTTCTGCGTAGGAATCGGCAAACGCACGAAGCGTGTGAGCCTCAAGCTCTATGGCATCTAATGCTGAAGGCATCTCAGCTTGAACTCTGCCGACTTACTATCAAAGCTCGGCTTCGATACTCGAGTCCAGGAGTCCATGAATGGGGAGCTCTCACGCCTAAGCGCCTGTCGCATGAACTTGGCGTGACTCTGGCCGCAGTCTTCCAGTGCACTTGTAACCCTGAGCAGCTTGGCAACATCTTCACGCCGAAGCTGTGAGATGCAATCGAAGCGTGCATGCTGAGCCAGACGGCCAGCAGCAAGTACCTGACCAAGCTGATGTCAGTGTTCTGGCATGTGCAACGAAGTAGGCAAACATTGCTTAACATAAGACTGACTGACATGCAAATGCCTTCCGACTGAAGGTGCCACTGCACTGCAGCTAAGTTGCAGGAAGGCACATGCATTGGACAGTTGGAAAAGGTGCAGCACGAAGGGCGGGGCGGACGCCTGGATCCGCCCCTTGCAGAATACAATGATGCAGAACTTCATGAAGAGGGCCCCGATGAGGTGATAGACGTCCATTCCTGTATACATAATCCCGAAAACGAAACGAGACATGCTTAGGAATTAAGTGCATACGAGCTTCTGTCGACCGTGAGGTTTACCAGATCCCGGACGTCGTCCCGGAACAACTGAAATCGTTTCAGCTGCATGCCCCATCGCAGGCCCTCTCCTGAGAATGCAAGTCAGTTCAACACACTGGAGTGCCCTCCTAATTGTTCACACCCCTCCCGATCTGCGCGAAGCGGTAAAGACGTTGACATTGAAGCTCCTCTGCTTCGCAGGAAGCTGCCGAAAAGCAAAGTCAACAAGACAGAGGACGAAGGACGAAGCTTAGCGCATACCTTCTGCATAGTTCTTTGTGGGACGACGTTGAAGTAGTAAGTTGTACTGTCAAACTTGGCACGAGAGGGGAATCTACAAGCAAATGTCGGCAGCAAAAAACACCTTAAGCAACACTTCTTGAGCCAAGAAACTCTCAAGAGTTTGTTCCTTGTCGAACTTGAAATTCTCGCGGTTGTAGCCTGGGCTGCAGCAACGAGATCTTGACTTAACTGTCACGGGCACCGACTCAGCAGGGTTGGTCTCTCTGTGTGTTTCTGCTGGCTGCCTCTTTCCGAGGCGAGGGTTCGACCGGTATATTCAAGAAGCTATTGAAAGTCTGGCCGTGCATCTGCTGTCGTCCCCCACGTTGCGGCAGTTGTAAACCGCTGGTCCACGATTGGTACTCATTATAGCTACCGTCACTACCAATCCGTACTGCCCGCCGACATCTAAGATTGCTGTCGCCAGGTAGCTTCCCTTCAGCTTTGTTACTCGTAATTACTAGCCGTGTGGCCGAACACAGCACTCCCGGCCAAAGCCGCTGCCGTCAGCATCGCCATGGCGACTGGGCAGGCCGACAGTTCGGGCGCCGCGGACCATCCAGAGGTCGGACTCTTGCCGCTCGTGTGCTGCAGGTAACGCCGGTAAGGCTGCATGGATTTGGAGGTCCAGTCGGGAGTGTTCGGAGTTGAGGTCCGAGGATTAAAGGTTTAACTTTGGTTGGATCGGTGCCTTGGACACTGCCGGACAAAGCCGACGCTGGAGCTCGGAAAGCGAGTAAGAAAACTATGAAATAAGCTCGTGAATCGGCTTGTCGACATCAATCCTGCCCGCAACCACGCCGGTCCTTCCTGGCGCTCTGAACTTTGATATACTTTGATTCTTTGCGCACGGCGCCTCATGTGACATAGCATGGGCCAAGCTGATAGCCACAACGGCAATGCGGATCCCCGCCAAGGCGGCTTCGAAGTTCGGAAGGCAGGGCATAAGTGCATGGACCTGTTTATCTGGGGGCGCTGGCAACAAACGTAATGTGGTCCTGCCAAAGGTCCTTACCCATGTTGAACCTGACTGGAAACGCTTTTGCTTGGAGGCTTTCCTCATGCACTGGCCGGGGCCGGCGCTCAACTTGCAAGGACCTCCAGCTGCTAACAACAATTTTCCTGAAATTCCCCGACAATGCAGAGTACCGGCCTGACACACCTAGCAATCCAGGCGAGGTATGTGCCTGCTCGCGTTTGCCATCCGACATGCGAAAGTACTGCGAAGCCCTGGAGGCGCTGCTCGAAGGCCTGTGCCTGGCAGCGTGTACGGAATACGACTCGCAGATTTAGAACTGCCTCGCCTTTCTCCCATCTCCGTGGCAGTGTGCCCATCCAAGAGGACGTGTGGCATGCTCAACACCCCTTCGTCATGATGCCCCTCATGTGTCGAATCCATTGCCGGCACCATAGTACTGATAATATGGTACCGGAGGTTGATTCGATGCGGGATCTTCAACGACTTCCGTCATGCTGTATGGCTAATCCCGTTCTCCATGCGTGCTACCTGCGGTTGCACGAGTTGGGCTCAGGCGGATGCTGATTCACAGCGCAGGTTCCGGCACACGTGCCCTTCTTTCCCACGTCCCATTAGTGCGACAGCAAGCACATACTGAACAATCTCAATCTCAAGACACCCTTACCGCCAGGAAAGGCCTTGTCTCGAGCACGTGGACTTTGCAGCACGGAATGGTACGATTGAAGTTAGTACAGAATCCTCGACTGAACCCGGTCGTGGTTGGCAGTGTGGAATAGCAAGGCATGATGAAGATGAAAGTGCCGGTCTGAGTCTATAGTGCAATCAGCAGGGTAAAGAACCTAGTATATGCTACTTCGGCCGACATGGCCGACGCAACGTGTCGCCATGGGAGGACATGGATAAGCAATGTCCGGAAAAGGAAACATGCCCTTTTTTATCGGAAAGCTAGAATCACACCACCGGAATCGACACATAAAGGAATGAGCAGCATCACGAAATTACAAAACAAAACGCATCATGTCCAGATGTGTATACGTGCCAGCAGGCCGATAACAACTTTGGCGGTGCTCATCACACAGCACCGTGGATGCAATGAGCCCTCGTGACCACTCTGTCATGCGCAACAACAGCAATTACACATTGACTGGGAAGCAGCTTCCAGAGAATGATATATGCTTTTGAGATCGCACAGATGCTTCAAAGCGTGAGGCTTCATGCAGGGACTCGGCGGAACAGCACGATGGCACAAACAAGTTGGTATCAAGAACTGGGACCTGCCACAGGTTGGTTTTTGTGCTCACGACAGTACGCCTGCGAGACCCAGAACTCCTGGGACGCCTGCCATTTTCCCACGACTCCACTGCGCAGGGTGATGCCATGGATAGCTTCCCCTTGCCGAGGCTACGGCAGCCAGCTTCCCAACTGTAGCTCCACAGGCTTCGGAGGACTATATTTGGTCGTGGTGAGAGACGCTCTCACAGTACATCCCTCGGTTCACCGTGGCCACCTTATACGGCGCCTATTTTTAAACACCCGGACATTTAAACAGCTTAAACAAATCATTTGCACTAGGTCGAACGGCAGTGGCTTTGGGCCGCCCAACTTTAAAACATCCGGAAGCTTTGCTTCGTTCCCCCACCAGCTGCCTTCCATCCTTTGCCCTCCAGCCTTCAAGCCCTCCAGCCTTCCAGCCCTCCAGGCTTCCAGCCTGCCAGCCCCTCCAACCTCCAGCCCTGCAGCCTTCAATAACCTTCCAGCCTTCAAGCCCTCCAGCCTTCCGGTGCTCCAGCCTTGCAGCCTTCTCCACCCCTGCCGGCCCCTCCAACCTTCCCGCCCTCCCTTCAAGCTTTTATTCCTTCCGAAACTTCCAGTTCCAGCCTCCAAGCTTCCAGCCTTCAAGCCCCCCAGCCTTGCGCTGCTCCAGCCTTGCAGCCTTCTCCAGCCCTCCAGCCTTCCAGCCCGCTCTCCCTTCAAGCTTTCTTGCTTCGAGCGCCGGAGGGCTGGAAGGCTGGAGGGCTGGAAAGCTGGAAGGCTGGAGCTGGAAGGCTGGAGGGCTGGAGGGCTGGAAGGCTGGAAGGCAAGGCTGCAAGGCTGGAAGGCTGGAGGGCTGGAAGGCTGGAGGGCGGAAGGCTGGAGGGCTGGAAAGCAAGGCTGGAACTGGAGGGCTGGAAGGCTGGAGGGCTGGAAGGCTGGAAGGGCTGGCAGGGCTGGAAGGCTGGAAGGCTGGAAGGCTGGAAGGCTGGAAGGCTGGAAGGCTGGAAGGCTGGAAGGCTGGAAGGCTGGAAAGCTGGAGCTGGAAGGCTGGGGGGCTGGAGGGCTGGAAGG